GGGGGGGCAAAAGGGAATTAGTTCAAGCACAAAAAGAAAAGTATACAAATCCATTAGGTCTGCTTGTTAAAAGAACACAACAGAAAGATGAGCTATTTGCCACATTTGGCGGAACTTTTCCAACTTTCATAAATAAGTGTTACTCAAACGTAGCAAGTAGTAATATACCAAACTAACTTTTATCGGGCGACGGACTTAGCGTACGAAAGTCCTGGAAAGGATGTTCTTTGAAAGCCTCGCTGCCAAAATGCGCTTAAAGTCATAGCTTGGAAGATTGCCAACTGTTGGGCCTACCTCGGCCTTTCTCACAACCGAAAATCTGGCTGCAACGGTTCCTCCTTAATATGGCCTCTATGAGGCTCACGCATGTTAGATCAAAGCCGCCGTTATGGTGCATGTAGTGAAGACCAGATCCTGAACAAACAATATTTACTGTACGTATTTTTTGGAAATCTACTTTTTTAATCAGTAAATTATCAATAAGCATTACTGTGTCGGTGAGTAGACGTGGTGAACTCAGCAGAGCACCATAAATAGGACGGCACGCAGTCCTGTGGGTCTACCAGAGCACTGGAGGAAATAGGAAAACGGAAAGAACAGCGATAAGTTACATGGAGCAGAACGAATGCCCAGAATGCTTTCTGCGAAGCAGTAACAGATGCAAATTCTAGCTCGTATACAAAGAAAGATGCAACGGTATAAGCATACCTTGAAGGCTTCAGTCGAATTTTTTAGGAGAAATCCTCGCGCATAACCGACGAGCGACGTATGCTGTGAAAAATGGAACCACAACCACCAAGGCATAGCGAGGACCAACGACGCTAACACCTGACCCCTTATCGCATCCGCTCTGTAAACCTTCAGGTATGGTTTATACAGTTCTATTGGAATACCTTCGCACCTCTGACACCAGCGGCAGTAAAGACGACCTCATCATTGCGCTAAAGAATAATGCTTACAACGTCCAAATGTGAGAGGTTAAGCTGCGTCAACACACGGAATTCAATTCACCGTCAAATCCTGAGGCGTTTGCGGCCCTAACATGGGGTGCTGTCTGTGGGGAAAGATCGTCGCAGCATCTCCGTCCCCCACACCCCGCCCATCCCATTCAGACCTACACCACATAAGTGAGGTTCGTCCAAACTATTTATCTTCATTGATTGTTTCCGGACCAAACGATAACTCGATTGTCGCAAGCGACGAGGTCACTGCGCGCTTCCCTCCTCCCCTCCCCCTTCCACCACACGGGGTGGGCACAATTCGGAAGAAAAGGGAGGACGTTGCACTATGTCGCAAACCCGCAACACACCGTGATAACAGATAGGAGGATGACGG